TGAAAGTTCCTTGAGACTAGTGTCTCATCTTTCTGTAATTAAAAAGACATCCTGACTCTCAGTACATTATGCTTGATACAAACAAGTTAAAAAATAATAATGACTTCTGAACTTGGAGCTCATTTATATTGATTCTAAGAGCTGTAGATTTGGAAGAAGAATATGTGAAGAGGAATCTGAGTGGGAGGGGAAAGGGGGGAGGGTGTGAAGTGGAGAGGCCAAGGTCTCCTGGCGAGAAACTGCCTTCAGCAATGAGGCCGTGGCGCCTCTTTGTTATTCATCAGCCACGTTCCAGTAGAGAACATCGAGCTGAATAGCAGAGGTGTCTGGAAGGACTAGATCATCAGTTAAAGATAATTATGGAGGTGCACATCTTATTTAAAAATGTGGCAGATGTACCAGATTTATTCAGATAGGGCGTTCCTGTTATTGACCATGTGAGGGTCATACAGGGAGCAACAATTCTAAATAGTCTGGACTTGGATTACTTTTGGTAACAGAAATCTCTCTGGAACCACAGCCTAGCTAGACAAAGTGTGGGTAAACAGGACACCTGATCACAGCACTGAGTTGGAGATTGACTTGTGTGGGCTGTGGCGAAGAGCTGAAAGTCGATGATAATAATTGAGCCAGTTTATCTTAAGCATCAGGGATAATCAACCTGAAAGACAAAAGGAGTTGCCGTCTTCATTTATCAGCCACATCTTGGAACCCGGGGACAGAACTGCTTAGGGTTCCTGCATTAGGCAACTCCAAAGGAAAATGTAGTATTTACACACATCCTGAAGATAAATGTATGTAAAATGAACCTTCCACAGTTAATGTGGGTAGATTTACCACCCTGGGGAGAGCGAACAAAATCAAGCGAAAATAGAATGCTTCTTGGCTTTGTTCATTGGCCATGGCCAATGGTCAGACAGCAGATGTGGTCTTTATGTTACCAGCAAAGGCTTTGAAATCTCTCCTGGATCACCTCCCACCCTCGTGGCTCCCTGAGCAATGCTGATAACAACTAGCCAAGCGACTGATGCTGCTGCTGAAATTACCTCTTTGGTCTCACACAGAGCCATCCCCAATCCGTGGAGAACAGCCAGCCTGTCTGCAGTGATGGCAACTTAGGGGCTGAATGCATCCCATGTTTGTTGTAATTGTATGATTCCATGGGAAACATCTCAGTGAGAGGATATCTGATGATATGGCATGCTGCCAGGCAGTATTGGTAAATGCTGGGCAGCTTTGTCTTGAGGGGGGCACTTAGAAGTTTCCTGTGCGCTACAGTAGTGTCTTGGTTTGTGGCAGCCAAGGACACTGACACTGAGTACCTGGTTGTGGTCGCTATATGTGTGCATGTATAATTATCATAATGTTCAGGTCTAGAATTGTGGGAAAACCAAAACGCTGAGTATCTGTAGAATCTAACTCATGGCAGGACTATTCTTACATTATTGTCAATTAGAAACTCTTTCTGGTGCATTGGCACCAGAGCCAATCCATTCCAAATTCCTGAAGCTAAAAAAGTACAAAACTGACTCTTTTCTGTAGCAGGAGATGTTTGTTTTAAAACACTGGGGAATATAGAATTGGCCTGTAAGGCTTTCTCGTGACTGAGATTCATATCTCTTGGTGTTCTATACTTTGCTTGTTGCTTTAGAAAGGGAAGATGGAAAGGGATGGTCAGTGAGTACAGTCCAAAGTTGAGTGAATTCACAGTAAGTATGTTATTGAGAAAGTGTGGAATAATTACTGATGAAAGCTAACATTTGTTGAGTAGTTCCTATGTGCTAGGCACAGTACTAAGTTCTTGCTTGCATGATTTAATTTATTTTACCTAGTTATTTTTGAAGTAGTTACTGTTATTTTTGAATATTTCTGAATAAACAAAACCAATTTTTATAGTGCTTAAGGAAATTGCCTCATCTAGTAAGTGACAGATCTGGTTTTGACTTTGACTTATCTGACTCTAGGGCTCAGTCTCTTTACTTTGAATGTTTAGGTAATGAGAAGGTTTGTGCCATAGGAAATTGAAGGCATTAGGGCTAAAAAATGTATTATAAAAGACATTTAAGACTCACAAAAGGTGTAAAGACTACCCACTCACCGCTCAATATAAGACAGAAAGGCTACCTACCAGTAGAGCACCGCTTGACCTCCCCTGTATGTGGTAACTGTGTTAATGAATTTGGTTGTTGCATTTCTTTATACATTTCCCACATACATATTTATTCTTAAAAAATGCAACTTGTTGTTTTGCATTGTTAAAAATTAGGTTCTAGCCCAGCCACTATGGCTCAGATGGTTGAGTGTCATCCCATGTATCAAGAGGTCACCAGTTCGATTCCCAGTCAGGACAAATGTCTGGGTTTCTAGCTCAGTCCCCAGTAGATGGTATGCAGGAGGCAGCCGATCAAGGTTCCTCTCTCACTGCTGTTTCTGTCTCTCTCTCTCTTTTCCTTTCTCTCTCTCTCAAATCAATAAAAACATATTAAAAAATAAAAATTAGGTTCTGATATGAGTATTTCTTTGGTAGTTGGAAAGAAGAAGCCTGGAGGGAAAGTGGAAATCATGGAGCTCATGTATGGAAGTATGTCATGCAATGTTAAGCCTGTTCTATGGTTTGCCAGCATATTTTCAGGGAAAATATTTCTGAACCACAAGTACACAAAACAAATCTTGAAACAGTTTGCCCTTTCTTGTAACTGGGGGCAGAATAGAATTTGCCCACTTGTCTGCACTGTGTGATTGTCAGAATGGCTAATTTTCTTTGATTCTGTGTTTTCTGGCATTTGGAAACTATACCCCAAGAAGTTAAAATCATCATCTTTGCTCGGTGCTCTGTGGCAGCTGCCTGCCTGGTGGCTTCTGGTAGTTCCGTGAAACGTGTGGGCAGAGCAACAGAAGGGCTGAGGAAGGAAATAGAATGACTGGAATAGCATTTGCAGGCAGAATGTTGGTAGCTGAAGGTGGAGCATATCCAGAGGACACTGTTAGGAATATTTTAAAATCACAGGTGCACTTCTGCTCCCTGCAATTTAAAGACACATTGCAAATGCAATTTGTGTAACTGTTTCATATGGCTTATTTCAAAGTTGGGGTTCTTGTGGGCCCTCCCTAGGCAAAGGGGAGATGAACTGTGTTGACTTCTTCCAGAAATAAATGAGTTTTAAAGCAACTCTGTTGCTCCAGCACCTGGGAACTCAAACAACTGTTGAGAATAAAGATCAATGAAAAATTTTTCAAAAAATGAATAAATAGAAATGTCACATTTTCCAACTTGAGGCTAACCCAGTTGTGTAGAAATTTTTACTTATGTCTGTTAGTCCCTCCTCACTGATCTAGTTCAGCTCTGAGGAGGGACATGTGCTGAAGACTGCTTCACCCACTGATGGACTCTGAGCATACTTTCAGAGGTGAAAAACCTACCTTTTTGTACCCATGCCTTTCACTTATTTACTACAACCTGAAATTCCACCTAAGGAATTTTATTTAAAGGAATAGGAGAAGGAAATAGAAGGAAGTTCCTAAAAGGAGTGGCCCAAAGTTCTAAAATTATACATCACATCAATAAACTTTTTTTGAGTACTTACCCCAAAATATGCATATTTATTGATTTATAAATTATATATGTACTTTTGCATGAATCTATTCATACATAATGGAACATATGCAAACATTTTAACTGGAGGAGACAAAAGTGAAATAAAATATTTTATTTAGCAGTGGTATCAAGTTCTTTACTTTCACAAAAATTATTATTACTGTGATTGGTTATAATTTAAACTTTTTTATCATGTTGGTTTAGCATTTTGCGATTTAGCTTGGCCTGGTTCTAAATTAAACTTATTTTAAAATTTTGTTTTAATGCCTGTTATAGCTAAAAGGAATATGGAGGTAAAATGAAAAAAGGCATTGTGCCTGCCTTTTTTGATTTGTGATAGTCAGCTTTTAGTTCCCTCCATCATTATACAGGCATTTGTGTTGCTCCTTGGCAAGCAAATGGTCATCTTTTCAAATGTTAATCAGTTGTCTTTGAAAACTAATTAGAAAGTATACATTCTTGTATTTTTAACAAATGGATTCAAATTCCTCTGAGAGTTTTGATCTGGAGGATTTTTAATCAAGTTACAATATTCTATTTTCAAGTTGTTAAGAAGTTTGAAAATATGGGAGATTTTTATAGGCAACAGACACAGTCTTTTCAGTAGTAAAATCATATTAAAATGGAAGTGATTCTAAATACCAATTTTTAAATATTCTTTTCATAGCCCAAGTTTTGGTCTTTTTTGTTTTAATGTAGTGTTTCTCATCCATGGTTGAAACATCAAGTTAAACTTTAAAGGCAAGATTAAATATGTTTTCTTTCCCAAAGTCAGCAAATTCATATCCCTGAACTTCTTTATAAAAGAAAAATGCAAACTTACATATATACGTGTCACAAGATTTTCTAGGTTTTGGTCATGAGAAAACCAGCTGAGCCCATTGTGGTGGATAATAATTTTATAGGCCCTTTCTATTTTATTGCAGAAAATTATAAATATTTTACTCTATTTTAAAGGTTTTGTGGGTGTTATGGTTGTTGTTAATCCTGTAGGGCTTTTAGCTTCAACTTTTTTGCTATGATAGCTTATGAATGATGTCAATGAAAAGGTGTTTTTTGTTTCCTTTTGCATAAATTTTAAAATCTCCTCCGACATTTTGTGCCCCTTAGTTTAGTTGCAACTTGATAAAAATATAACACACAAATCTATGTAAGTAAGCCTAAGTAAATATATCACAATAAACTGTAAGCAATCTGATGAGGCCCTGTCAACCCTTTTACAGTGTGGACTTCTTGTTCCTGCTTTAAGTTGTTTTGTGTAAATTCTGTGACATATGACTACTTGAAAGGCAGACTGAATGGGGGTGCTAGATTTAATCTAAATCAAATATTAGTAAACTTTTAAATTTTTTACATGGAAAATACATATGAATAGAAGAACTAATATTTTCTTTTCCTTTCCTAGTGTATCACCGTATGTGCCCCGGATCAGAAACTGTCTTTATAGCATTGATCCTGTTATAAAGCAAGTCTCCTTGGGGATAGAAGTACTTGAAGAAATTATGTCACCCAGTATGAATTAATCCAACATTTTTGGAAACAGATTTTGATAGGGTGAGAACATGAATAAAGTAAATAGACTTGGCCCTTGGAGGCGGTGAGTGGTTAATGGAATTTGAGGAGAAGATACTGTATAAAACTGGGAAGTTAGGAGAATGAAACACAGATTCTGGGGATTTGCAACAGTTAAGTTCTTTCCCTACCTTTGTGAGAATTAAGAAGTATTGAACAGGGTGAAGTATGAATTCAGCTGTCCTCTCATTCCAGTTCAGAGTGTAGCTCCTTACCTGGCCCAACAGAAGGAAAAGTGTTGGGCCAAGGCATAGGCAAAGCCTCAACCTGGAGCCAGGACCTGGGCCCCTAGCCATGGCCAAGGTGTTTGGTCAAAGCACAGGTGATTTGAACCCAAAGGATGGTACTGTTCCAGGGATGGTTAGTTACCATCTGTTGGGTCATGAATGTAGTCTGGCATTCATTCTGGGGTCTAAAATCTAAGTGTTCAAGTAGCTTTGCTGGGCTATGTCATTTTCCAATGAGGGAATGTGAGCTGTTTAGTTTAATTGTGTTTCAATAAGATCCCACACCTTAGTGGTGAAACCGGTGGTTTCAAAGATTCTATAAGCCTCTCAGGACAGCTACTAGGGTTGGTAAGGTTCTCTTTCTCATTCATTTTGAGCCTGGCAGCAGAAATAGGGGACTCTGTTATTTTAATTTCTGGGATGAGGGTGCCATCTCCTCCCCTCTTGCTTCCATTTTCTTCTTGATTTCCTTCACACCGTTCTCTGCTGAAACGTTGCCACCAGACACAGGAAGTCACTACCAGTAGTTGACATCTCCATGGTATTCACCATCACAAATGATCACCATCAAATAGCGTAATTAGGTCATGCTTCCTTTATACTTGACATCAAGAGGAATAATATGAGCATTTTTTAATATTACATTTTAGACCATATGTGTCTTTCGACATCTACCTTTTCTCTGGAGAAAACATGTTCTTTCTTGATGAGTAACAATATATCTCTTTTCTATAAATCCTGAATGCCACATCAGCTTATGTTACACTCCATGAGATGAAAAACCCCCCTCAATGTAGCATATGTAAGATAAAGTCTATACTCTGTTTGTGCTGAGTCTGATGCTGATGGATGAAAATCTATTAGAGGAACGCACTCACCATGCTTGGAGACTTTGCTGTTAACAGTTTCCCAGGTCTCATTTTTCTGATGTGAGTCTTATTTTGAAGAATTCAGATTAGATGATGAAAGACTGGGTAAAAATTCTACTAAAAAAATCCCCCCAATGCTTGTATGCTTTTTAGATTGATGTAACTCATGGGTGAAAGTAGGTGGTACAGAGGAACTAGAAACAATACATTATCAAGTTGTCTTCCTCTACAGAAGCCAAATAAGCAAGTCTGATTACAGTGGCCCTGTCCCAATTAAGAGGAGCTCATGAGACATAGAAATAAATTCTATAAAATATTAGTAACTGGGGAATGGCCAGTCTCAGTGGAAATTCTGGATTAGGGTACTTTAAATACATATATACTTAGTTCTTTTACATATAATAGTACTGTACTTATGGAGAAGCCAGATGTCTTGCAAATTTAGTCATCAAGACTAGACTCTAGAATTCAGGAGAACATGGAAAAAATCTTACCTGCAATGCAGAAAAAAAGCTGCCAGAAAGTACATGTAGCATACTTCATAGGAGAGTCAGGCATTCCTCACAGACCCTCATCTGGACCACTGTGTATAAAAGAAGGCGCTCTATTAGAAACCCGGAGACATACAGCTAGCAGATAATGAAAAACAGTGAGAAGGAAGGGATGAAGAAGTGTTAAAAGCTAACACAAGCAGGATAAGTCTGACATGACTTAGTAAAGGAAAAAGGCACCATGCAATTATTTTCATGATGGTGATTTTGAATAAATAAGAATGGGCTAAATGATGTCCAGTGCATTCTATTTGGTAAGGCAGATAATTGTGCAATAGATTTTCCTAAGTTCTTTCAAAAAGGATTAAATAATAGTAACTTGAACTTATTGAACATTTAATGTGGAACAAACATTGCTCTAAAGGCTTTTCCGTGCACCTCATTAAATCCTCAGAAGGAAATTACAGAGTTACCATTATTATCCCCATTTTACAGATGAGGAACTGGAGCCAAGAAACACTAACTTGCCCATAGTAGAAACAGAAGTAGTCAGTCTCAGCGCCCACGTTTCACTACTGTGTCATAGCTGCCTAATTAAAATAAGTAAGTATTGCTGCTTAAAGCCAAAATCTCAGTTGTCTGGAAATGTTACTTGCCTGAATTTGTGCTGATGCAATATAAATGAGACATTTATGCATATATTAAAATCTATTTAATTACAACTGGGCTCCAATTATGTTACCTAGTAAAGTCTTTCTGAGACTTTCTTTAGTGATAGCTAAGAATGTTTTTACAATGAAAACCTGAGTATTTTTTTGTAGGTGCGGGTTTACATACCGGATGAAGAAAGCTTCAAGTTTGAGGACTTGCTGTCAAGATGCTTAGCATAATGTTGAATCTATCCTAGAACTTGAGATTTACAAAATCATTAAGCCTTGTTTATGTTATTCTTTTGCTTTGCAAAAATATAGATATTTTCTTACAGGCAGCACAAAGGTAAACTTTAGCTTTGCTCCTGTCAGAATTATCTAATTTCTAATTAGAGGAGCCTGATTTAATGAGATTTTCCTAAGTAGTTTGGATAAGCCTTGGATGACTGACTTTAAGTAAGCGATGTTTTTTCTTTCTTTCGTGTTTTTTGTGTTTTTTTTTTTAAAGCTAGTAAATCATTTGTTGCTTTCATAATTGATCAGTCCAGCATTTCTCTTAGAGCAGGGTAATTAGGCATTTGTTGTAGGCACTGTGGGACTATGAGATGAGAGATGAGAAAGGGGAGAGCAAAGGGATTAAATAAGCTACTGTGGCTCCTCTGTCCTGGACAGGCTGCAAAGGGGCAGGAGAGTTGCAGCAACCACAGCTGGAGATCTGTCCACCACAGTGTGTGCATCACTAGGAGAGGTTTCCTGCTCACTACCTCTGCTGGATATTGGAGATTGTTCACACATTAGTGTTAGCAATTTGGTGAAGTGAGTGCTAATACTAACTGCCAATGCAACTGCATTTCTCCACAGCCTCTTTTTAGGTACACGAGACCATTGGAAATCACTAAAAATTAAGGAGACAGCCATCTCAAAAGGTACTGGTCCTCATATTATTTCTAGATGATGAAGGGGACCACAGAGTAGAACATCCTGGATGTCTATAACAGTTTATCAGAATTGGTTAAGTTCAATTAAATGCTTTGAAAGTTATCACAGAACCGCTAACAAAATGACCATGTTCTACCAAGAAGTTGATTTAACCTTGATGATTTCACCCCGGGTATGTATGTCATTTCTTTAATTAAAAAGCAAACAAACATATCTAGAAAGTGAATGTGCTCTGGGTTTTTCAATTCTCTACACATCCATTGAGTACACGAAATTCAAAAGACAATGCCTCTGGGGAGAGCCTGGTTGGCAGCTTGAGAATTTACTTTGAACAGACTAAAGACAGCTAAGCACAAACTGCAACTCAGCCCTCACACGTGCAAACATGTGCTCCCATAGCCCATTTCTTTTAATGACTAATGAATTACCTCCCCTGTTTTCCTGAACTTCAGCCTTTTTCCAAAGGGCTATGCAGAAAAGTGCATCGATGTGGAACAACCAGGTAAGATGAGACAGTCCGTTCAACCCATGTTATTAAAGAAATTGGTTCACCTTTTTGATTCTGTGTCATTGTAGTTTCAGCCATTCATTTGTTCAATAAGCAGTTTGGTATGTTCTGGGAAATAATGAATATTGATCATAAAATCGATCACTTATTAAGAAACAGACTAAGGGAAATTGTTTATCCAATCAATTGTAATTTTTGATTTGTTATTTATATTTTCCAATTTTGTCCACCCCTCCCTGAGGCTCTTCCGCTCTCAAGACCAAAGGAAAGGCTTATACACACTGGCTGGAACTTCTGAAAGAGCACAAAACCCGATACGTTCATTATAGATCACGCTGGCTGAAATAGCCCATAATAGAAGAGAATGTGACTGAGATCTGCAGACACGCTGCCTCTTGCACCTGTGGCTATTGGGCTGAAACTCTGTATAGTAATATAATTTGCTAACAAGGGTGTGTGCTTACTGTTTTTGATGTATAAGCTGTGTTATGCTTTAGAAGACAAAACAGATGCACACAATTAAAATTTCTATACAAGCTAACAAAGATTTTGAGTAAGCCTGGAAAGTGGTTGAGTGCTTTGGATACATATGATATTTGTTTTACTCAAAGGGTTCCTATTTTTGAAATATGTTTTTGGTACAATAAAAATGAAATTGATCACTCTCAGACTTTTCTGAAGCTATGACAATGAACGTGTGCCCAGTTGGGGCAGGTTTGCAATAACTAAGGGATGCGATGTGTAGACGGATCTTCCAGGGAGACACACATATCCTTCAAGGTCCTGGGAAAAGGGACCACTGTTCTCCTGTGGAAATATTGATGGGTGCCTTGATGACTCCTCTGGAAAAGACCGAGCGAGTCCTGCTAGGAAACAGCAGACTTGACCACCATTCTATGTGCCTTGTTAAAATGGGGACTGAGTCAGGTGCAACCTCAGAGTACAGATGTTTCTAGTTTTGTTCTGCACTTATGTGGAAAGAACTTATAAGCATGTATGCTTAGCCCAGGGACACAGAAAACAGACAGCTGAAGGCCTGGGGTAGGGTGGGAGATGGGTGGAGTGGAGCAAAGGGGGGAAATTCGGGACATCTGTAATACTCTCAACAATAAAATAAACTAAAAAAAGAATTTAAAAATGTGATTTTGAGTCTCCCTCTAGCTGGCTGCAGACACTGATTATAATT